GTGGTGCCAAGCTGGCATTGACACGTGCACTTCCCACAGCTCTGGGTGCTGGAAGTCTAAGGTCAAAGTGCCACTGATTCGGTTCCCGGTGAGGGCAGCCACCTTCTGGACACATCCCCACATGACCTTTCATCGGCGCTTGGATGGACAGAGGACGAGCGAGTCTCTCTATTCCTACACGGTCACTAGTCCCACCGCCCAGGACCTCACGTCAGGGCCCCTTAAAGGCTCCACCTCCAAACGCCGTCACACTGGGGACTGCGGCTCCAGCCACTAAGAGCTGTCTCTACGAGGGGTCTTCAAAAAGTCTGGGGAAAGATTCCTATTGTCTCCTAATTCCACTTTGCCATTAACTTTTTGAAGTCCCACGCGGAATTACTGCCTTAATAACTAACATCTTGTCCCTCTGTCTCCCTGGGAGAAGTCATGAGCCCCTTGAAGGCAGGAACGTTGTTTCATTTGTTTCTGAGTGTTCCGTGCCTAGTAGATGGCAGGCATTCAACCAGTATTTGGAAAGTGTCTCTGGATTTTTAGTAGTGACCAGAGTAGGGCCAATTTAATTTGTCAAGAGCAGAGCTTGGAGGAGCCATGAAGCCTGAGCACACCCATGGGCGTTTCCCTGTGGGAACTCCCTGGGTGAACTGTGCTGTCACCCTGGGGACAACTCTTGTAAGTGAGGATAGTTTCTATTTGCCTCCTGGCTTGTAGCCCAAATCCCCGTATCTCAGGGTTGCAAGGGGCTTAGAAGTCATCTAGTCCTATTCCAACCTGCAGCTTGGCTCACCTCCACAGCACCCACCCTGACACCCAGGGGTGGTCCTGGCAGAACTTGGGGTGTACTTGGCTTCCTCCAAAGAGGGGAACTCACTACCTTCTTGGACGGCCCAGTCTTTTTCCAACCAGCGTGATCAGTAGAGTTCTTCCTCTAACTGAGCCACAATCTGCCACCACTGCCCACCTCCATGCCCACTGCTCTCCATCCTGCCATCTAGGGCTACGGCATTCATTCCTTCCCAGTAACAATAAGGCCCACATGTTCCACTAAGACTCTGTCAACACTAAATATTTCCAGTCCCTTCAACTAGCCCTGCTGGAGCCTGGCTTGGGGCCACCGCCTCTGAGCATGCTCCAGTTTGCAAACTCCAAAGTGTGGCCCCAAGGAGTGAGAGCACACCTGGTGGAGGAGGTCAGTGAGACAGGAGCCTCGTGGTCTCTGAGCTCACACGGGTGGGAGGTAGGTTCTGGCTCCGCCCGGCCCTGGCTCCCTCACCCAGTTGCTTGCTCACGCTCTCTCTGAGCCTCAGTTTCCTTACTTTTCAATACAGAGTGGGGTCCCAGTTACAATTGCTGCATGTCATACTACACGGCACTGGTGGCGTACAACCAGTGTTCTATGATGCACACACCTTCTGTGGGTCAGGCACTCAGCCAGGGTGCTGAGTGGATGGCATGTCTCCACTCCAGCAAGTCGGGGGACTCTGCCAGGAAGACCTGAAGGTTGGGGTGACTCTAGAGCAGGGGGCTGGACTCATCTGGATGAGTCTTCACTCACATGTTGAGTGCTTGGGTGAGATGGCTAGAAAGTTGGGCTCAGCTGGGACTGTCCTCTGGGCCCTTACACATGGCCTGTCCAACATGGCAGCCTCAGGGTAGCGGGACTGTTTATGTGGTGGCTAGGGCTCCCGGTCTTCCATTGGACGAGGAGGACACTGCATTTCCTTCTGTGAGGTAGCGTCAGAGTCATGCAGCAACACTTCCTCCATGTCCTATTGGTCAGCGACATCACAAGCCACCCCACCTTCAAGGAAAGGGGACAGAGACCCCATCTGTCAATGGGAAGAGTGTCAAAGAATGTGGAGGTGTCACAAATGGGGCTCGAAATACTTAATGACTGGTACTACACAGCCAGCTCAGCTGGACAGCTGCTGCCTGCAGGGCAGGAGCACTGCCCGAGAGACCCTGCAGGGCCAGGCACAGCCCTCAGTGCCGGATCGTGGGCTCGCGTGTGGGGCCCGGGCAGGCTCCCGGCGGTGCCACGGCGGCAGCCACGTGCCAACATGTCTTGGTCTGCTCAGGCCGACCTAGGGTATACCGGGGGGCTTAAACCACACACATGCACTTCCCACAGCTCTCGGTGCTGGAAGTCTAAGGTCAAAGTGCCACTGATTCGGTTCCCGGTGAGGGCAGCCACCTTCTGGACACATCCCCACATGACCTTTCATCGGCGCTTGGATGGACAGAGGACGAGCGAGTCTCTCTATTCCTACACGGTCACTAGTCCCACCGCCCAGGACCTCACGTCAGGGCCCCTTAAAGGCTCC